CTGTCCCCCATCCACCTGGAGCTGGGCTTCAGCCTCGACTCGCGGGCCCCGGCGGACGCCTACGGGCTGCAGCCCATCCTCAACCACCTCACCAAGAACAGAATCGAGCAGAAGGTGCGGCAGGGGGAGGGAAGGGGGCTCCTGGGCAGGCTGGCACCCCACTGCGCAGGTCCCTCTTTGTCGGGTGCTGAGGGCCCCCTGCGGGAGACTGGCAGGCTCCCAGCTGTTTTGGGGGCAGGGGAGTCGCTGCTCGGACTGGGAGTGGGGGGGTTGCCAGCCCAGCTTTGTCCATAGAGCCCGCCCCAGGAGGGAGGAAACAAATCGGAGTCCCCAGGGCCAGTGCCCCGGGCCTCTCCTGGCAGCAGGGCCCCCGGGAGCTCCCCTGGATCCAGTGGCGTCTCCCTCTTTAGCACCCCTCTTGGAGCCCACTCACCAGCACCCAGCTGTGCCCAGCTGCTCCCCGCCCTGTCCTGTGTCCAGCTGGCACTGGGGGTGGAGCAGGCAGAAAAGGTCCCAATCCCCACCCCCGACCGGGGGCCTGATGCATCTGTGCAAGTGATGGAGCCCAGGAGAGCAGCACGGGGCCCAGTGGTTCCCCATGTGTGTGCACCACGCAGGGGTCCCGGCTGGGGACAGACGCTGGGACAGGGCCACGCTGGGCAGCGCCATGGTCTGCGTCAGGCTCTCGGATTCACCCTGGGGCAGGGAGGCGGCTGTCACCACTAAGACAGCAGGGGAGGGGTTGCTCACACTGACCCCCACCTTCTCTCACCCCCAGGCCCAGATCCAGCTGGACTGTGGCGAGGACAATATCTGCGTCCCCGACCTGCAGCTCGAGGTCTCAGGGTAAGGCTGGCAGGAGGCCCCCCGGGCCGGGGCTGCGCCTGGGCATCTGCTGGGACCAGCTCAGAGCACGGAGGAGGTGGGGGCCGTGGGGGGGAGCCACCCCACACTGCGGGGAATGTGGTCTAGTGGTGCTGGGAACTAGGACTCCTGGGGTCCATCCCCAGCTTCCAGCAAGGCCCTTCCCCTCCCTGACCAAGGCCCAGTCAAGGATCCATGCTGGGCCCAGCACGGAGGATACTCAGCCCCCGGCATCCCCTCAGGCCAAGGGCGCCCCAGGGCACAGAACGCTGGGAGCGAGGGCCGAGACCAGCCGCCCAGGTGGACTGAGGCGCTGTGCAGGAGTTGACTGGCTGGGGGCAGATAACTCTGTGGGCAGGTAGCGCGAAGGGGCACAGGTTGGGCTGATAGTGCGGGAGGTGGGGCAGGGGAGGATAGCGCTGGGGTGGAAGGTGTATGGCGCTGGGGGGCAGGGCTGGGGGAGGATGAGCCTGGGGTGGGGAGC